CCTAGAGAGGTGTCAGGCCTCTACGCGAGATTTCTCTCCATGCATGCCAAGCACACTTAGTCCTTTTCGCTACCCAGCAAGTCATATGTCCTCGCACTGACGGAGGCGGCCGCGACACCAGTTTCTGTGCTAACAGGCATCCGTACAGCATCCATTGGCATCACAGGAGCTGAGCTCATTTACCATCTAGGCATACAACGTTCGCGCATTTCAGGTTCTTGCTAGATCAGAGAGTTCCGCAGTGCTTCCGATTGTTGAGCTGCATGAGGGCCGTGTGCTCTGGGTAGCATTAAATGAAGACGCGGGGTCATCAGAAAGAAGCAACACACACCACATGGACCGTCGTACAAACACCGTGCATCATGCATGACGTGTTCAGTCTGCACCAATCTCACGAACAATCCCCAAATGCAGCTGGAGAGGTTAATTGAACTCGATCTACTTCCTTGCGATGCCAGGTAAAGTTTCTCCACTTCTGAACAAACCCACCTCGCCAACCACCTGACGCGACTTCTTTACTCAACCAAAGCTCGCAAGAATGGTCCTGCAAGAAACAATTACTGGTGGTATCCGCGATAATCTCTCGCATTACTCAATACTTATCGGAGTTGTCTTGTTCTGTTCCTACTTAATTGGCAACGCAGTTTACCAGCTATACATCAGCCCTCTATCAAAGTTTCCAGGTCCAAAGCTAGCCGCAGTGACGTTGTGCTACGAGTGCTACTTCGATGTCTTCCAATGGGGTAGATACTGGGCGGAAATAAAGAAGATGCATGAAAAATATGGTATGTCACCACCCGGCCCTTGTCGGGGATTGAGCCGCCTTCGTCTCTGCCGGCAGTAATATTAACATGATCAAGGCCCCATAGTTCGCATCAGCCCTTACGAACTCCACGTTTCTGATCCTACCTTCATAGAAACGCTGTATACTCGATCCGCGCCACGCGACAAATACAACTTTATGACTGCTGAGTTCGGCAATCCTTTGACAGCTTTCAGTACAGACGATCACTACCACCACCGTATCCGCCGCGCAGCCATGAATCCGTTCTTTTCCAAACAGCGCATCATGGGCCTACAGGATATGATTTGGACGTACGTCGAAAGATTATGTACAAGATTCGAGGAATATGATCTTGCCAAAAGAGCCATACCTACATGTGAAGCATTCAGTTGTTTGGCTGCAGACGTAATCATCAAATACTCCATGGGCGTGGAACAAAAGTCTCTCGACGACCCTGACTTTGCACCATATTTTACACAGGCCAACAAGAGATTTGCGTCCCTTTCTTTGATCACTCGATACGCACCCTGGTTACACTCTGTCATCAACGCGTTACCGCAAGACTGGGTAGAAAAACGAAGCCCCGAATACGCAGCGATGATGGACCTCCGGAAAATGAACAACCGACGCGTGCAAGAGGTTTTTACGAAAAAGGAAAAAGTCAGGCAGGGATCTGGAGTTGCAGACAGCAACACGACTAGCGAGCACACGATATTTCACGACCTCCTCGACAGCGATCTACCACCCAACGAGAAGAACCTTGAGCGACTCAGCCAGGAAAGCCAGGTCATTGTCGGCGCTGGGATTGATACAGTCGGCAACACATTGAACGCTATCCTCTTCCACCTTCTCGACAACCCGTCCACCTATACAAAGCTCAAGGCGGAGATAGTATCAGCTATGCCAGATCCCTACGAGCGTAAGGCGCTTGTGGACTTAGAGAAACTGCCCTATCTCACCGCTGTTATCAGTGAAGGCCTTCGAATGAGCAACGGTCTTGCGATCCGCAATGCGCGCCTTGCGCGCTCGCCTATGGTTTATAGAGATTATATCATTCCCGCATTCACACCAGTCGGCATGACCGCTCCCTTGATTCATACCAACAAGTCAATCTTCCCTGAACCAGACTCGTTCATTCCAGAGCGCTGGCTCAATGACAACGGCGCTGTAGGTGCTAGAACATCCGATGGGCAGCCATTGGACAGGTTCCTCATGGCTTTCGGCCGTGGCACGAGATCATGTGTGGGTATGAACTTGGCGTATGCGGAGATGCGGATTTGCATTGCAGCTGTGATTAGGCGGTTCGATATGGAACTTTTCAACTCAAGCCGAAAGGATGTCGATTTCGTGCATGATGTGTTTCTGCCTGGTGTGGATCAGAGCAGTAAGGGCGTGCATGTGCTAGTCAAGTAATCACTTCTACCCTAGCGGTCACACCTATTTGCACTTTCAATTTTGGCGCGCCTCCACATCCCGCTTTTCCATACGTGGAATTTCGTAGACCCCTCATACTTCCACACCTTGAGCGTGCTGTGGTTGTGCCAAGGACGTCTGGACTATGTTCATGAATCGCACTTCGGAGGGTGCATCGTACGCTACACTCATGCTTAAATTTGGCTTGGCTTGCAAGCAGCAGTGCACTCCACGAGTCTTACTTAGTGGCGATACACGATTATTGTACCATGTAACAACTAGAGCTGGGCGACGTCATCTGCATCACGAACAACAACTAAATTCTGCCAGGGACAACACCATTGAGCTGATGTCCCTGAACCCCGCTTTTTGCTGTTAAGCTGTTAATATAAACACGCATTTCGTGGCTAGCAGACAGGACTGTGTCGTAAACCCCATACAGCGGGGTAAGGCTGCATCCCTTCTGAGCCATACACCTCCTTCAGCTTCTTGGTCATGCATCTACCGTACTCCGTTCCTACTTAGCTACAAGAGCAGGCCGAACTAGGATTACCGTCTTGTGGGTCTAAATTGAATCGGTGCGAGACGATGCCGTACGGCTAAGGCCGGGACCCCGGAGAATAAATCAGACTGGGTTGTTGGATGTCCAGGCGAGAGTGGAACGCATCCGTTCAGGCACACCCGCTTGTGGTGGAGACAAGCTAGTGGTCGACCTGCATACGCCACGCGCTCATGCTATGTCCATGTACCTGGATCTCGGTCCAGATGAGGTTCTATCGACCTTGATTTCGATGAGTGATCCGGCTGTTGCCGTTAGAGTCTGGGGATGCAAGGCGAGGCTTCCGAGAGTTCACCAACCAGTGTAGGTGTTGCGCTACCGACACGCACCAGTCCAATAATTCGTGAGGGAATGTTCATGCCTCTTACCATAACAAGCTTTCGATCGCTACCGTCATTTTACCCCTGCGACGATCGGAACGTGGCAGGTCGATCAAACCGTTCGCTACGCTAGTTGTGACGATCGACGATACCGTGCAGCCGGAAAGAACGAGGCGTTGATGGGTCTGGTCCTGCGCCATCACCGCAAAACTCAGTGACGTGCTATCGATGGCGTATCCCACTGCTCTAGGCTTACATCTTCATGTACAGGCGTCGTGAGAGAGGCGTCATGTAAACCGACGGTCGAGGACTCGAAATACATTTGTCAGTTGCCACATTGTTGGGAAATTGTCGTTATCGAATCGATGGAGTGTCAAGAAAGACCATGGAACTGCGATGCCAACTATCAGAGATCCATGCGCATCTAGAAAGACCACTTGTCGCGTCTAACGGGCGGGTCTTGGAGAGGGACCACCTACTGCGATCCACCGAAGCACACTTCCAACGATGGGCGTGACATACCTCAAGCAACACTAAATCCGAAACCTGGAGACGAAGCGGATATTCATGTCGGGCAAACGAACAGTATCGTGTGTCAAGATGGTGTTGACCCTTGAAAACGCCCCGCATCGGCACTAGCTCAAGCCAGCGCTCGTGCTTTCGGAAGACGTCCCGGACTACTAGACTCCCTAGTGTTAAACTTTGAACGGCACCTAAGCAACACGGCTCTCTCTTGGTTGGTTGTTGATTTGCTGCTTGGCGCCTTATCTCAGCACAAAGCAACCAGTATGACGAGCCAGGCTTTCGTGAGACGCGCTAAATTCCAAGCTTCAGGGTCCCCGAGATGACGCTACACCACTCGAGCCTATAACGGAACAGCACCCGTGCTACAGAATTGCTTAAACATTACAATTAAGAAGTGCTGCACGAGGCTGGCCCGCACCAATAAAACAGTCCACCAAGCAGGTACCCAGCTTGGCGCACTTCCGATGGCGTACACCAGGCGTTCTCCAAAGTCGTTCCCAACGCAGAGTTCTAGATCCGGAGGATGTTTGTGGTCAGTAGGGGCCAGACTTGAGGTTTGGATGGAGATTTGCATTCCTCGCCAACATCGATCGAGGACTGTGATCAAGGACGAATTCCAGATAATGTTGGCTCAGGGGATGCTCGAAGAGTGTAGCTCTCAACATCCAGAAACACATAAAGACGAACCGTTCCTTGCAGATACAGAAACCATCCTCAGCAACTCCAGCTCCAGGCATCCAACCTTACTCTCGCTCTTCATCTCTCGTCCTCCTCGGCATCTCTTCCCCCTTCTCAGTCTCTGTTCCTCGCTCACTACAACAAATCCATCAAGATGAAGCTCCTCGCTACTTTCACACTCTTTGGCGCATTGGTCGCGGCCGCACCTGTTGCCGATCCGATCGAAGCACGTGCTACTACCAGCAGCGCAGTGAAGACTAGCAGCGCAGCAGCCACTATCAAGACCAGCAGTGCCGTCGCAGCGGTGACCTCGAAGACCAGCAGTGCCGCTGCAGTGGTATCTTCCAAGGCCAGCAGCGTCGTCGTGGTAGCCTCTTCCAAAGCAAGCAGCGTAGTCGTCGCAGTCTCTTCCAAGGCAAGCAGCGTAGTTGTTGCGGTCTCCTCGAAAGCCAGCAGCGCAGTCGTCACCACGTCCACGGCTGCACCGTTGCTCGGTGTCAATGTAGGCGGGTCCTCCTCGCCCCTCGTGGGAGTGAAGCTCTCGTCCTCGACATTGCTTGCCGTTGTAGTTGGCTCAGGATCTACATCTACCACGGCTGCGGCCTCCACGATTACTGCTGCGCCCACTGGCACTGCAGCTACAGCTTCCACAGCTCTTCCGTCCACGTTCTCTGCACCAGTCCAAGGACAAGGTGTCCTATCGCTTAACAACCTTCCTGCGATGCCAGGCGTGATCGACAAAACCTTCTCCGGTGTTCTCGGTGCTGCCTATGGTCTAAGTAAGTCTTCCACGTTGTTTTCAAAATATAAAAGTATTCAATTAACTAATGCTCAAACTAGTGTCCGGTGCATGCGATTCATCGTACCGTTGCAACATTACCGTTGCCGGTTCGATTTCAAACCTTCTTGTCGATGGCAACAACTACCAGACAGCCAGCAGTGTGGCAGCTTGGTGCGATGGAGGACGCTGTTATGGTGCTGCCACTGTTCCAGTGACGGCCACCGCTCCGTTCATCATTACTTGTGATCAGCTTAGCGGTACGCAAGCCTGCTCTGCTACGATCTCCGGGGCAGCAAACGCAATCTTTACGAACGGACAGTCTGTCGGTAAGTTTCACCAACTCCATCATCGCATTATGAAGCTAATCATTTCTAGAACTTTGGGGCTGGGCTACACCCGCCGGATACTGTCAAAATGGCGTATGCACTGCGTCTATTACAGCCGTTGGTGACCCAATGTACTAGATTCTGAGAGTGAGAAGAATGAGTGAGTAGGGCCGACACAAGGGAGATACATAATGCCAAGGAGGACGAGAGATATCGAGTAATAAGCTTGTTTGGATGCTAGTTTACTTCTTTTCCTATAGATGACAGCATGAGCTGCTACCTACCTTCTCTTCTCCGTAACCTCTTAGTCAATGGAATACTTTACCCAAGCTATATATGCTTTGAGCGTTGCCGTCATCCCACAAGGGTTCATGCCTCAAGCTTCCGCGCCTTCTCTCCACCGAGGCTTCAACACAACCTTCCACTTCCCATCATGGAACTGCATCGTGATGAACTGCCGAAGTTGAATTTCCTGATAACCAGCTTCCTCGAGCGAGAAGCGGGAAAGGAGGTTTGCAGATACTGTGCGCATTTCTGCGTACGCGAAATTCTGTCCAATGCAGTTGTGTCGACCGTTAGAAAACGGAAAGTAAGCATCCATGCTGTATCTTTTGTTAGCAGAGGTCCAAATTGCACCTCTCGTCTCATACAAGGGTTGTCTTACTCTGGTTCCGGCGCACCCTCCCTCTCCTCACCTTCCAGCCATCGTTCTGGCCAAAACCTGTTTGGCTCGGGCCAGTATCGTTCATCCCGATGTAGTGCCCTATAACTGGCTGAAACAATTGTATAGGGCGGAATATCAAAGCCATTAACATTGTGGCCTTGATCTAGAGTGCGACGACCTAGTTCAGAAGCAATGGGGTTCATGCGCAGGTTTTCTTTGAGACAGGCTTCAAGGTAGCGATATTGTGGGTCCGTTCGCACGGTTTTGGAGTCGAGGATGGGGGATGAAGGAGAAAGAGGGGGGAGCGAAGCGAGAAGCTTGTTTAGGGCTGCGGGAGTTCGTGCGAGTTCCACAAAGAGACATGCCATCGTGCCTAAGTAGATGGTCAGCCAATGTAAGGCCGAAGGGAGAACATGAGGGGTTAGAACTTACCGGATGTCGTTTCCGAACCAGCCAGAAGAAGTTCAGACATCTGATCAATTATATCCTGATTCGACATACGCTCTCCAGTATCCGGTCGCGCACCCTCATCCAACATATGCTGTAGGACATCGATACGTGCTGCGTTCTTTGCTGATCCCTGTGCTGCAGCACGTTCGTCGACGAGTTCGCAAATAGCAGTGGTCATTTCCTTGGGCCAATCAACCTCCCATTCATACCCCATTCGCCTCAGGAATCTCTTGATGAAAACTAATCCATACCTTCTGGCCTGCCCATCGAAGATCGCATTGGGAATCTTACTCCACCGCTTATCTCTGCTCGAAAGCATCTTTCTCGGATCGAAAATCTTGTCAATCTGCCCAAAGCCTTTGCCGAATGAGGACTCGCCCATGATGTCCAAGGCAAGGCAATGCAGATCGCGCATGAGGTCTGTTTGGATATTGCCATTAGGCCTGAAACTGAGATCTTTGGAGACGGCTTTGTTGACTTCATCGTAGTAGTTGTCAAGCAAGGTGGATACGCATGCTTTGAAGTAGGTGTCTAGTTTGTCCACAGATGCCACGGTGAAGGCAGGGCTGAGAAACTTCTTGAGGTTGCGGTGGGGCACTGGGCGGCTGTGATTTCGATCATTAGCCCATGTTTTCTTGCTAGAGGTGGGTATAGAGTGTTGTTACTTACATTTCTCCAAAAAGGCCTGGGCTACTTCTGTCTCTCGAGATCTCGGCATACATAGTAACCTTTGGTAGGTCAATGGTAAGAAGAATCTGTTTCATAGCCCCTTTGTCTGAGACCCAAATCTGCCTTGGTCCCAGACGAATCACATCACCATACTGTTTGTGCATCTTCTCAACATACTCGTGGATCGTGCCGCGGGCGAAAAGCCATCGAAGGTGCATAGCCGTGTAGGGTGCATACCATGGCCCAGGAAAGTTTTCGAGGCCTGTCTTCTTCGTGACAGATCGATAGTAGGATAGCGTGAATACTATGGCTAGAAGACTTGCCACTATTGTGCGTGGATGGGGCAGCTCCATGGTAGAAAGCTTGTCCCCGGACGTGAGTGAGTCAAGGGTCGGCATGACATGCCATGGGAAAGTAGGGGTAGATAAATTCATCGTGCTTGGTGAAGGGGAACGCGATGAGTGTGGTTAAATTCAGCTGTTGCAATGCTGACCCATGAGGTAGGAGCAGCGTCTTATAGTCACAGCATCTCGATGGTGACTGTCTTGTTCTTAGTTGTTTTGCCATCTCCTGTTTCAAGAAGTCAGTCGATCGCTGTAGATTCTCCGAAGACTCTTATCTTCCCAAAGTTTGGTTAATGATTACAGCCTTGCTGACGTAGCGTAGTGTTAGTCCACTTGCAGGGTTGTGAGCATTATGTACGCGTGATGCAGCTGTCAGCTATATGCATACAACAGTCAGCTGTCCACAAACAACTATCAGCCATGTATATACGATAGTGAGCTATGTAAATAAAATTCTCGCCTGTTTGCATGCAGCGACTAGCTGACTGCACATTGTAGCCAATGTATGAACTCGTATCTCTAGTCCGCACTCAGCAATAAGGATGATTGTTCGTTTGGACGGGCAAAACTTCGGCAATGTACGGAGTCTGAATCGAAGGGGGTCAGTGCAAGCTGACAGGTGCACCTTGTTCGTTCGGTGCTTATCGCTTGGCGAACCAGCTTACCTCGTCCGGAAATTGTTGTACCGACTACTCAGTCGCCCTGATATTGTAGTATGCACCAACGAGACATTGCATGAGGCTGAAGCGTTTCGGACCGCGCCAATAAAGGGTCCGATACCAAACCTTACTGTCTCAGTGTATGCTTTATAGGAAGATAGTCTGTTACGCATAACCTCAGTATTCGGGCCGCGCAGTGGATGGTAGTATGACTCCGCTGCTAGACGAGATCGCAAAATGCGACAGACGTCATCAGTGTTTGACATATCTAGGTAGTCCTTGAATCTATTAAGGTTTCATTCAGCCAGTCGGCAGTGAGGCGGGCCGTACCGGATAAATATCGAAACTTTGTGATGACAAGCTTCCAACGGTGGAAAGTAAGGCTAAAGAAGGCTCAAGCGCTTCCCTGGAAGTCGGGTCCCAGTCGTGGTGGCCTAACCACAATGTTTTCGTAAGCTTTTCTGGTGCAAGGGTGAATCCCTGGCCGTCTTGCTCACGCGAAGAGACGGTATATGGAGGAGTGCAAGTTTTCGAACCACATTGTTATCAGTCACTTTACCCTCTTCGCCAGTATCTTACATCTCATCCACGATACCCGCGTGTTCAATCATGACTCGCAAGAAGATCCTCCTCACCGGCGTCACAGGCTACATCGGTGGTAGCGTACTCCATCAATTACTCCGCAGCAAACACCCATCGATCCAAGAGGCCGAGATAGCGTGTCTGGTTCGTGGCCAGGACAGAGTTGCGCAGCTTCACAATGCCTTTGGCTCCAGGCTCAAGGTTGTGCTCTTCGAGGGCCTGGAGGATACGGCGCATCTTGTCGAGATAGCAAGTCAGTACGATGTCGTCTTCAACATGACGCTGGGCTATCATCTTGCCAGCGCTGTAGCCTTCGTTAAAGGCCTTTCCTTACGCCGAGTGCACACTGGCAGAGACGTATGGCTGGTGCATACTTCGGGCGTTTCGAATCTCGCTGACCAACCACTTTCCGGGGATCACATTGAACCCAGCCCGGATCGGGAATTCAACGATTCCGAGGACGACATCTATACCTATGAGAAGAGGCGCAATGCTAGGAAGAGATACATCCAGCGGACGACGGAGTTGGGCATGATAGACGCTGGTCTCGAGTCAGGCGTGAAGACAGTCGTCCTCATGTCTCCATTGATCTACGGTGTGAGTGATGCCTCCACGTCCCCGCAATCTGCGGAACCCCATGGTACTAACTCCTAGGCCAGGTTGGCACGGGATTATGGAACAAGCGTAGTCTGCAAGTGCCTCGGTTGGTCCGAGCGGCGATAACGGAAGGCCAAGCCATCGTTGTTGGTGATGGCAAGGGTGTATGGGATAACGGTACTTCTTTCGCGGCAGGTTAGTTACACGATGTACGCTAACTTGGTGCTGCAGTCCATATCGAGGACCTTGCAAGATTATACGAGCTGACGCTCATCGACATCTTGTCAAAGGATGGCGCCTCCCTTCCAACGGGCAAGCAGGGCGCTATTTTCAGCGCGCATCGACGTCACACGTGGATTGACGTGTCGCAGGCGGTCGCAGATGCTGTATGCAAAGCCGGCCTTGTTGACGGCAACATCGTGAGGACTGTGAGTCTCGCGGAGGGAGCTAGATTGCTCACTGGTGGCGTGGAGCAAGTTGCTGAGTTGGGTTTCGCAAGCACTTGCAAGACACGCGGTGAAGTTGCGAAGAGGTTGGACTGGCATCCGAGCGCTGGAATCGAGGCTTGGGAGCAAGGCTTCGTGGAAGAGGTCGATGCGCTTAGATCGAAATTGTGAAACGGCTCGGTGAATCTTAAGGATATTCGGTGCGAGTAGGGCTGACGAACTGTCACGATGAACAGACTTGCGTGCTTGATTCGAACGTAGTCGGAATAGATAGCTACTTCTGTCTGTCTGCGGTACTTGCGTCAAGCAGCCACGACAACGATTCAACCGTTGCCGACAGGTACCGAAGTGGGCAACTAGGATGACCTCATATATACTAGCTTCTAAGAGACCTAGTCAAAGGTACGTGGAGTTATCGTTGCAAATGGAAGCCAGTAGGGGGTTCCATACGTATCTGAAGATCCGGGGACCGGGTCCGCGCAGATCGTACGCCAAGAACTGGATTAGCGCGACACCTATCCACAAGGGTGGCCGAAAGTTAGTATAAATTCGCCGACGATGAAGGGGCATCGAGGCTGTAGATCACAAGCATCCTGCCTGCTACCTAGGGACGTTATTGCGGGGCTGCACGCTAATTCCTGGCGACACCGTAATCGATCATCGGAATCGTCATCCTTCGCGATTGTTCGTAGTGAACGAATTTTACTCTTCTTAGTATGCGCATGTCTAATGATGTACTCGGTCGCATACAAATTCCATACAACTCTAACGTGGCTGGTAAGGTTGTGACGCTAATTCGCCGGCAGCAATCACCAAACAACCACTTAACCAATATTCGTTGCGCCATTATGTAGACAGCTCCACGCTCTAACAACTTTGAAGGTGGTAGCTCTGTACTTGTCGAATCATCAATTTACCTGACGCGAAGGTCAAGCCCACGAATCTCTAGCCTAGTTTTTCTACGACTCATCCTTTTAGTCTCCTCGTTGCATTCATCTAGCGCCAAGGGCAACCTACTTTACTTATTTATCCCGCTTTGGTCAAGTTGAATTTGAGCCTGTATTTCCGTGGCTGCTCGTCTACCTTAATCGACGCGTCAAGGTACACACGAGTATATCGATGACGACCGAGATACAGTCGACTCGTTGCAAGACTTTTCTGGCCTGAGAGCTGAAGGAAAGGACTTGGAACAATACCGGTACCATTATACTGTTTTTGGAACGATTCTGTGTATAGAAAGACCCACGGTTCTGACGTTCTTCCTTTGGTTCTATCCCGCCACTCAAACCCACAGGATAGATAACAATATTGTTTTTCCATGTCACGTACCAGGTACCTATCGCTCAAGCTCAACGCCTGCTCTACGTTGACTTTCCAGTAGCCTCGGAAGTTTGGATGACCCCTCGTAAGGAACCGCAGTCCAGCAATGTCCCATCGGTGGCTACCGGCTATCTCGTCTTCAATCTGTAGTGCGTAGGGATGATCAAGCCTGAGTGTATCTGACGATACTTGTATCGAATACTCATCTGCCAAGAGCATGTCTGCATGAATCGAAGGTGTGACATGCGAGGCGATATGTATCCCTTTCTTGACAAATGAAGGCACTTTCCGCTTAAAGCGGATTTGATGTACAATATCCACACGAGGCCGCTGACTCAATCTTGCGAAAAGATTCGGTCCGACTTGCTCTAGAAGTAAACCCTCGATAACCTCTGCATCTGGTGACGAGATACAGGATAGAGGTAAGACATATAAGCCGGAAAGATAGTCGATATAGAGTTCAGTCTCAGAAAATTGCAATCCTCTGTTGGTCAAAGCATATGCACTACCCTGATACACGTGACTCTCTGTATGGACGAGGTTCGCACAATGAGCGAAGTACCTTGGGGAAGGCGCTAGCAAACTGCAGTACCGCTCCCGCACGCCAGGTTGCCGTGACGCGAAGAGCGAACGATCGTTCGACTGTTTCATGATCTCTTCTTGCAGACGTATGAACGCTTTTGTGCCCTCCCCATAAAGAATAGGCATCTGTATGTCGAAAATCCCCAAAAGACAATAAGCAATGTCTTCTGTTCTCGTTGTCTCTCTCTTCGCTGCCCACGCCAGCCTTTGAGCTATCGGAAGTGTATCCATGGATACCTGTCCGGTCAGAACATTCGTTGCAATAGCTGTGATTTTCGAGATACGGGACGACAGTTCTTCTCTTGTTCCAAGGAAGCTCCATAATCGGTCAAAGAACTCAACGTGTCGCGGAGCGACAAGCTCCTGTAAACACCAGCCTCTCTTAAACCATCTGGATCCGCTGATCGACGTCATGTCTCGGGTATCTCCAATCTCGAAGTCAGACAAGAGGACATAGCAAACAGCTGCATCGCGATACCATTTGAACATGGAGTTGATCGCTTCGCTCAGCTCAGCACTGCTGGTCTTGTCGATGCAACATGTGTCCACCCAACAGTAGCCAATGCCGGTTAACCTGGCTTTTCGGCAAGTTTCGATGATCTTGAGATATCCTGGTCGCTCCCTTTTTGGATTCTCAGACCCTCTATTCATAGCCAACATGTCCTGGAATGTGACTTCATCTGCTTCGGGGCCCCAGGTGTGTGATAGAATCGCATACTTGGGAACGTCAGACTCCACAAACGATTTCAGCTCCAAAGTGTCGGTGTCAATCAGTCGAATTGCCATGGTAAACTTGCTAGAGCCGATGATGGTGCGTGACTAGCGTTGAGGGAAGGATTGTCGCGCAACGTGTTGTACGCCGTCCGCCAGATAAGCCAGTTCGCGGGGTAATCGACACGCTACGTTTTAGTCATCAGCGTACGTGAGCATGTGCCATCAGGCTAAATGAGTGGCATTTGTGAGCAAGTTAATCATCATGAGGCTGGAAGGTCTCACGTCTCATTCTAGTAAGAAAGATGTATGATGTCTCAAGGAAATGGTGGCGCAAGAGTGGCTACTTGGAGAGCCTCGGTTTATCGGCCCCTCTTATCGCGGCCCAAGATTATTAGCTACCTGTTGTTGCTCATAAAGTCACACAACAATAGCTTGGCCATTGGACTAAGCTTTAATCGCCTGCTGTCTCCAGTCCATGATGGCTGACCTATGGAACGTCTGGTACAGTGTTGGGATGGTTGGATATCGCGCGAACACCTCATCACGTGGCGAGGACACGATTTCAGCCTTGCCACTGCTGCCTGAAGCATGGCGTTCTCCATCAACGTCAGGACTCCCATTCCTGAGCAAGTTTTGAACCGTCCTGCCCTTCCTCTGCTTTTCAAGTTCGGCTCCACCGCCGTCTTCAACCTCCTGAGGTCTTTAGATATGAGTTCTCTTGAGTGCCCAGCATATAACTCGAAGAGCGATCACGAACGGTCCTGGAGCTACAGTCCACGGGATGACCCTGAAGATGAAGGCAATCCTCTAGTTGCCGGTGTCGACCTTTGCAGCAATTGTCAAATCTTGAGGTGGCTTGGACTACGTCGCCCACCGACGGGAGAGCATATTCCAGGCGATCTTTTTAACCGCTATCGAGAATCCGCAAGAGCGCCTGTGTCCTCAACTTGCGAGTTATGCCAAGCCATTTGTTCATCATTATCTGCTACTCAAGTCAAGTACATAACCCTGTCACTTGGGAGACTAGCTGATGCTATCCGTCTGGACATATCGTATCCAGACCAGGAACGACCTTATGAACTTCTGTTCGTCGAAATCGAAGATGAAACTGACTGTACGATTACTCAGGAAATTACTTTTTCGCTGATACTCCCCGCACAGACGGGTGTGACAGTGCGACGAATCGAACCCGAATCGGTGGATTATACAGAAGTACGACTTTGGATCGATCATTGTGATTTCACTCATGGCCCAAGCGGTCATACCGCCACGAAGCTTCATGTACCTCACTTCAAAGTTATCGACTGCTTTAACCGGCAAGTCTTACCTTTACCTGACCTGCAAACCCAGTACGTCGCGCTTTCGTACGTTTGGGGCAAACCAAATCCAGAAGTCGATAGCTCGGAAAGGTTTCCACAAACGATCGAAGATAGTATAGACGTAACTTCAAAATTGGGATACAGGTACCTTTGGGTTGATCGCTATGTAAGCAGCACTATCGAGATAGTCTACACATTTCTGCGAGACTGAGCTGATTGGAACAGTGTATTGATCAAGATGACAAAGACAATAAGCACATCCAGATCTCCATGATGGATCTTATCTATTCTCAGGCCTGCCTGACGATCGTTGCAGCCATGGGCGATGCTTACGATGGGCTCCCAGGGGTGAATGAGCTCTCACGCAGTATGCAAAAATACCTTAAAATCGGTCAATTGCAAATGATTGAATGGTTCGTTCCACACGACCGAATTTTGATATCGAACTGGACTAAAAGGGCATGGACATACCAGGAAGGCGCTATTTCGAAAAGGAGATTGTTTTTTACTGATGGTGGTATTGCGTTCTGGTGTCGACGGATGTACTGCCAGGAAAGTGTCAAAGAAAGGCCATTACCATCACACCCACGGGACACTAGTAATGCTGGTGAGCAGCTTGCGTACATTATCCCTCGAGTAGCGGACGTGTTCAACCAAACGAGGTTCGCGAAAGTGATGGAACAGTATTCTCGAAAGACTATGAGCTATGATTCAGATGCCCTAAATGCCTGCCTGGGTGTCTTACGCGCGTTGGATACAACACACTGCTGGGGGGTGGCAGTGGAGACTTTTCATCGAACCACGATGGCAGATGATATGTATATACTCAACCATAGGTGTACGTCACCTCGGGATTTGACAGTTCAAACCCAACCCCAACTTGTTTCCAATCCATTTGCCAATATCGACACATGGAAACCTTCATACCTGGAAAAATCTGTCATGTACCTCGCTTGGTACAACATGGGCGCTGTGGAAGAATGCAAAGAACGCAAAGAGTTTCCTACCTGGTCATGGACGCGATGGGGAGGTAAAAAGTACTACCAGGATCACGGCTACTACACCGTTCGCCGTTCAAAACTCAGAACTCGCATCCCTATGGACGACGTGTATGGGATACTCAAGATCGAAATCCTTGTGGATGATATGGAATGGCTGAATGTCTTTGACCATTTCCACAGACTTCGCGCTCTCGAAGGATCCAAACTAGGCAAGATATTACGAGTCACGGGAAACACAGTGACGCCACGCTACGATGAGACACCAGAGGGATTGGAAATGATCCTGACGACTGAGTTTGGCTTTGATCTGCATCTGAAAACGTTCATTGACTCCCTCGAATGGACATGGGAAAACATTGCCGACACGGTGGCCCTCGAGATATTTGAGTTCTTTAAAGAATATCATGATAGCGATGCCTACGGCACCGTTCTCATTCTGAAATCAGACGGAGAACAATACCGGAGAATTGGTGTAGCAACAATCATGGATCTTACACTCGATTCTTTGAGAAGTTCACACCATGATTCGATCGAATTGGGCACTTTGGCTATAGCAGGAGCAATAACTCGTACAGTGCACATAGTATAGATAGTCAAATCCTCTGATAATATGGATCACTCAGGCAACAATACGATACTCCAAAAGGAAGGCTCTTGGGTAGATGGAACTATGTTGAGCGAGCGAACTCAGTCGTGGAGAATTAAGCAAAGATGTATGGCACCCTGAGATTCAAACCAAGATAGCAGGAAGACGACACACAACAAGCATCACACTAAGCATGTTGGACTTTTCGTCTTTTTCATTTAAGGGTATCTTCTTACGCCAGTATCGTTGGGTACAAAGAACACAACCAAAACACCATTGTGGTGACAACAAAGTTCTTCGCGGCCTCACGCCCCGTTGTCCATCACCTCCCACGGCCTCTTCCCCGCCCCCTTCCCCTACCTCCTCTCCCTCCTCTCCCTCCGCCCTTCCCTCTCGGCGCCGACCTCTCATAGATCTTGACCTCCTCAAACGGACTATCCGCGACCCTTAGGTAGCTCGGTATGCCATTATCCACGACGGCGAGCACCACATTCCTGCACCCATACTTTAACCTCTGGTTGGGATGACCATCCTCCTTGGGCCTGTCCTCCGGCACCTGCGCCATGAGGTCGTTTAGCTGTGCACCCGTGGGTATTGGGGTTGTGCGCGCGTCGACAACGCAGATACGGAAGTCTGGCGGACCACGAGCGGACTTCTTGAAGCGGGCTGTGGTGCGGTAGACGTCGAAGTGGACGCGGTATGGGTTGTCTGCGGAGGGTGGGAGGACGAAGGTAGGAGGGGAGGAGCGATCGTGCGTCGGTATGAGTTTGAGAAGGCGGTAGATGTCGTTGTAGCTGCGATACAAGCCAGGCTTGATGAGCGGACCGAAGGCGAGGGCCTCGGCGGAGATGGGGTGTTCGGGCTGGCTTAGGCGCCGCCAGACTTCGGTGAAGAAGCGCGTGACGATGCTCGGGCGGGATGATGGCTGTGCTGCTGCTGCTGGAGGCGGCGCTTGTACGATATCCCCTCTATCATCGTCCCACGTCCCTGTCCTAAAGATGACGTATCCCGATCTCTTCAGTCCGGCATAGACGTTGTACATTTCCAATGTCAGCTTCCCACCCACACCACTCTCGAACCCAATGAAGGCAGCATACGCCGACTGGAGACTCATGGGCGCGCCATCTTCGGTTCTGTATACCGTCTTGTCGCCGATCTCGCGCTTGACCGGCCACCGGACGTCCAAGGTGCCTCGCTCCAGCAAGAACAGGGCTTCTTCGGGCAACAGCCACTCTCTTCCTCCTTTGTTCGTTCCTATCGTCTGGAAGTGCTGTGAGCGGACTCTGTCGACGCATGCCATGTTGCGCTCGGGGTCGTACATGGCGAGGATATGGCCTTTCTGCGTGTGCGTGCGCTGCCACGAGAGGACGCCGTGCATGGCCCGGCGCGAGGCCTCGAGCGTGTCGAGCTGGAGATTCGTCTCATGGCTCTCAAAGTCCTTTTCGCCGCGCTTGGGTAGAGTGGGGTGTGCCGTGTCTTGGGCACTGTGGGGGTTGTGTCAGCCATGTTGAAGCAGGGTGGTGCGTGGGCATGTGAAGAAGGCGTACGTGAGTTTGTCGAGTTTGAGGAAATCTTGCGCTTCCTCCGTGGGGTCGTAGTCGGCAGGGTCAGGTGCGCGCAGATGCGAGACGTCTTCGTCTTGGTCGGCCATTGCTACGAAGGCGAGGGCGTGACGGATGTCATGAGTTTGAGGGTTGGATGTTTGGTGGGGAAGATTTGGAGACTCAGTAAAGTTGCGACAGGGATGCATGACTCCCGCGGCGGCCCTTTGCGTTAGCGCCGGCTGACATCTCGCCTACGGTTACCCTATCATCACGACAATGACACCAACCTTCACATGCTCCTGTCTTCGTGGTGCTGCTTTACCCGTCCATCGCTAGCCGTTATATACAGAACTGAATGCAAATGCCGAGCCAAAATGAACGCGTATCTTATGCGCCGTCTTGGTACCCAGGTAGGTACCCAGGTAGGAGGTGTCGCATCCAACGCCTGTCACGATATCAAGGCAAACTGTTCAACATATATCACCTCTGTGAATTTGTCAAAAGGCGATGCGACTAAAGTCACACCTGAGATACTACAGGGGGTGCAGGATAGACATAACGAAATTAGTGCTCTGTGCATTACACCGGACCGCGCACTAATTACGCCGAAGCGTGCGCATTGAGCTGGACCGCGCATTAAGCCGTGGACCACTGAGAACGGTATAGGTTGACTCGCTTTGTTAAATTGTTGTTCGAACACTATTGGGTGAAGCTCCGAGAATTTATATCAAACGGACGGAGAGAGGTCCAGAGGATTCCAAATGACGGTGAGCCAGAGACGTGCTCAATGCGTTGGAGAATCTACCTGAAATGCATGAGCAATACACATCCAAACAGTGTACGACTAGACTCAAACAAGCGGAAAAGCTTGTGCTGCCAAGTGTGGAGAATTTGTGAGCTTGTTTTGTTTCTTCGCTGGACTCACACATCCTATAGTGGTTCGAATTCGGTGCACGACCCAACGCTTGTGTCGATAGGCCCGAGAAGGACCTGGGGCTGATCTACACATATTAACCTATTCATATGTATTAAGGCTGAAGTCAACAGATGAGGACAGGATATGGTTAATATGCGATCGTTGGATTTTTGATAAGAAGGGCTCCATCCAACGCCCATCTCTTCCATCACCTTCGTCCACAACTTTAAATTCCACCTAACAAACATCATCCAACTCTCCAACACCATCATCATGCAGATCCAAGCAATCCTACTCCTCTTGGTCGCCACAGTCTCCGCCTGGGTGAGTATCCTTCTTTTCAAAGAACATTCCTAGAGACTGATACCTAGAATCTCAGCAATGCTTCGATCATGATGAACACTTTACCACGAACCATGCCCAGTTGGCTGAAGGCAGTGATCCCAACAACCAGTGGGGATACTGCCCATCTGCCAAGGGATGTTGCGCCGATGGTAAGACGTGGTACGCCTGCAAGAACGTAAGTTGCGTCCTCCAGTATGTTTGCGAGTGGTGCATTGATAGTTTGTAGAAATGTGCAGGTGGTGCTGCCTGCAGTGTCTCTGGAGGCAGGACTTCTTGCTAGAGTTATCGTGAGCTACGGACTCACGTAGTTTCGTCGAGACCATTACACACAGAAGCAATCTACTAGTTCCCAAAAGCAACATACCATACAATCGAATGCTGGAATGAACATAAAGGGCAACCCTGTATTTGGTACGGATGCTAGCTGTGCCTACTCACATTGCGATGCCCTCAATAATGCATTGACACGTTTGAGATTTACACTTGGTAGTGCGAGAGTATCCAACTATTGCTGACTGCAAATGAGTCTGCCTGTTGTTCGCCAGCGTGCCTCCATATTGATCAAGTTACCCTTCGGCGACATCATCCCCATTCAAGACCTAGCCAGATTCTGCCGAAGACCAGGCACACTGACCATCGTAGCTGTCCCATTCTCACCAAGACTAATCACCATCTCATCCACCGATAGACCAGCATAAAGCCACGCCCCATGACTAAACCAAGTATAACAAGCATCCTCAAAGATACCCGTACTGTTCATATCGGAAATGCCCCGGAATGCCACGCGCCAACGGTTATCCGCACCAATGGGATAGATCCTGACGTCTGCATCAACCGCGTTCAGCGCAGCAGAACCAAAGAACTCGACCCACGCATCCGACACAGCTTTGCCACCAGTAGTCCAGCTCTTCACCTTGAGGCCCGGACCATCATCGACGACCAGTTCAATTGCCGATTCACCACTACCATAGCGACCCGCATAGTTTTCCGCGACCTGCTCCCGGCCCACGGTGTCAAAATGCGGGACAGAGTAGCGCACAAGATGGTCGAGCAGGGCTCGCAGCGCCGGATCGTCGCCCACACCAGCCACGTTGACGGTGTAGCCGAGCTGGTATTCCGGGATGATGGCTGCGTAGGCGTTGTAATATCCCTGTCCGCCAGGCATGGTGTATATATCGACGGGTCTCTCGCCTGAGTCAAGGCCAAGGCTCGTGGGACGCAAGACGGTCCAGGGCATGCCGACAGCTTCGCCTTTAGAAGAAGAGGTGAAGGAGGCGGGTTTCAGCCATTTGGCCATGTCGGTGCTCGAGAGTAGCTCGTTGTTGAGGAGGCCGCGAACAAAGCGGGCGAGGTCCTTGGGCGTTGAGAACATGCCGGCAGTCCTGTGGGCATAGGCGAATTAGTACGGATGCTCGGTTCTAATCAGAAGTAGAGAGTAATAAAGTATGAGTAGACTGCTAGGGTCTGAGTTGACTCACCCGTTCCATTCCCCGATGTCCTGAGTTCCAAAGTGATCGACCTCTCCAGGTATGACCATCAGTGATGCATCCTGACTGTCCAGGCCAGTCGCCGAGCTCAAGCCCAGAGGGCCCGTGATGCTGTCTGCGATAACGTCTCGAAGCGATTTGCCTGTGAAAGACTCGATAGCGTAGCCAAGAATGACAAAGGCATAGTTTGAGTATGCGGGAGTACGACCGACGGGCCATACATAGTTGCTGATGAGCGCTCCTTCGAGAAATTCTGCGATCAGGTTCAGTAAGGAGTATAGACAGTAGCACGATCTCAAGGAATTCTTACCCTCTCGAGTAGCACATAGGCCAAATTCTATGGAATTGCAAATAGGGAAGCCTTCAGGGACAGTAGCGTTTTCCGGCAAGCCGAGTTCGCCCTGTAGGAAATCAGGAGGTCCTCGAAGAGAGGTGTCGAAGGCGTAGCCTAAGTGCGAAGAGTCAGCTGTGGTCTTCTTGGTTCATTGTCCTCCAGCCATAGCCTTACCGTCGCGCGGAGCGCCAGACAGATGGCTGGCTAGCATTCGCAAAGTCGTGTTCTCGAAGTTTTTCGAGCCTTCAAGCTGCGGTACATGCTTAGAAACAAGATCGTCTATGTCCAATCCCTCCTGGAGCAACGCAGAAAGAACGGTGAAAAGTTTCGTCACCGAGAAGATGCGGTAGACTGTGTCGCCATTGACCTCGCTAACGCCAACTGTGGTGTTGACGTCTGGTGCAGTCCAATGGTACTCAAAAACTGTATCTTCAGTCGTGGTTATCGAGACCGAGTAAGAGGTGGAAGACGTGTTGAAGAGATTCGCTTCACTGTTCAGTCGGTCCAGTGCAGCCTTTAGTGGCTCAGGATCGAACTTGGGGGCGATGGAAAGGTCGGGGGGTGGTAGGAGTGGGATGCCTGCTGGAGGACAATACTCCGTGGCTGAGGCAAGACTCGCGCACGCGAGTGCCGTTGTTGATAGCAGATACTGTTTCATGTTGCGATTGAAGACAATGAACAAGATAGACACTCTTTCGATGTGAGGAATGTGTGAAATTAGTAGCGGAAGATGATAATGGTTTGGTAGCTGCTACAACAGAGCATGCGTTGAGCTTATATACTATGATCCTGCTGCGACCAGGCAGACCCAATCAAGTACATGGCTGAACAAAACCTCAGTCGCGATCATAGATACTCGTTTTGCCAATGTCGACGCTTGGGCTGTACCTTGCGATCTCGTTGTTCAGTGCTTGGCTGAGTCCCGAAGTCGCGGTTTCCTCCTAGAGCAGCATAGTTGTTCCTAGCGTTGCGCAGGTAAGTGCATAGCGATGAGATCCTTCTGTAGAGGTGACTCAGCTTACCAAAGTTCTCGACCCAGATTCCGTCACTGAACATGGCGAAGTAGTATACAACAGTGGTGCCAAGACCGCTGCGCAGTGCCCGTCTCGCCCCAATGGTATGCAGCGTGCTTGCTAAGCCCCCAGGTATCGAGGCCCGCGATGTTCAACCCATTTCCACGCTTGCTAAGATCCAATGAGTATTGTGTTACCCAAGACTGTGGCGACGGTGGCCCTGTATCCCCCAGATCATATGCTAGCACTACAGTGCGAAAGATAGGCGCGAACCACATTGGACCCAATCTGCGCTACGGCCGTAGAATACCTACTGTGGCTGAATGCCGCAGAACGCAGAACAAGTGCTTATTGGGGCGTTGGTCAGGCAATCCGCCAAGGTTAGAGAACATTTTTGTCCAATTAAGCGAGCCAAAAGAGCTTGGCTGTTCTTAGCAGGCGTGTTCCGCACGGATCGGAAGTTATAATGTTTTCCGATCCGTATGATGTCATAGGCTTGACAGATTCTACAGTAAGGCTTGTGAGCCTAGGCTTCATCTCAAATGTAACGACCGTTGCCTTACGAGGTCGGAAAATCTCCTAGAAAGATACACTGTGCTATAAAAGGGAACACGGAATGGATTTTAACTACTATACATATAAATATTTATCACATAGGTTCTAACACGGTGGCGAGATAGCCAACTGTACGATCTCTGTCTGCCCTATCGCGAGCACTTCTTATCGTGTGTTGTATTCCAATCCCTCAGAGACAATTTCGATGGTCTCACGTATGTCACAAAGCTTGCAAAGATGGACATAAGAAAACCTTCAAGGGAAAGCTCGTCCAATCCAGTGCATTGGGGCACTATCGCAGTTCAAGCCCGCTCGATTATAATACATCCAAGAAACCCGTGCCTTTGTGTAAAAGAAGACATGGTAGCAGCTTTGCACCCCGGAACCCTCCCGTGCACATCCCGGTGTTTCCCAACCCAGTTATCCATGAGAATGGATTTCGTCTGGGATACTCTTCATGCTAGGAGACCAAACAGAACCGTCTCATACCTATGAAACCAAGTTCTGACGTGCCCAATCGTACAGCGTTGTCGCAGGCCGGCCAATGACAATCTCGAAGTCGTCACGTTTGGTAGCTTGGTAACGCATTTGCCCAGATTCCCCAAGACGCATCGTCTGCACAGCGCTGTTGAGGTAGAGACGGGTTCCAGCATCCGAAATTGTCGCGACGTAAGCCTTGAGCGCCTCTGAATTGTAGACGTTGCATTCGATCTTCGTTCCGGTGGCTTGAGTGATGATCTCGGCAGCCTGTGGACCAGTGAGGATTTCTGGGCTCAAGCCGTAATCAGCACCAGCGTGCTTCTCGGGTCCCTCGCGAAGCACCGCGGCTGCCAAAGTACCGATATCAGCAGCTGAAACCCAGCCCAATGCGGCCTCACCCCACATAACATCAAAAGAGCCTTTCTCGATGGTTGATGGCTCAGTCACCAACAGAGAATCTAGGATGACGTTTGGGTGCAGATTGGTCCAAGCCATTCCAGAAGCTTTGATGTAGGTTTCGATCATATCGTGCCAGCTAAAATGCGGAATGTGATCCCGGCCTGAACTATAGACACCAAGGTGAACTACAAACTTAACACCAGCAGCTGCCGCCGCATCGATAAGCATCTTGCTTTGGTACAGCATGTCTGCCGTGTAGCCAGTAACCATGAAGAGCCTGTCGATACCTTGCAATGCTGATGGTAGGGTGTTCGGGTCGTCGAGATTGAGGATGACGGCTTGTCGTCCTTGTTGGCGCCATTGTTCAGCGGTCTCGGCCCGGCTTGTGGCTAAACGTACGTGGATGCCTTCGTGATTGGCATCGAGCTCCTTAACAACTTGCGAGCCCACCTTGCCAGAGGCGCCGATTACAAGTACCGTGGTCATTGTGCTGATACGCCTGATGAAACGAGTCGAGATTTTGCTGAGGTTGTTGAGATTTTGTCCTGAAATTTTTGCTTTCCTTGGTGTATCTTATAGCAGGATACGGAACCAAAGACATCCGAGCCAGTAAGGCCACTAGTGGCGTGGTGGAGAGGAGAACGTGAATACTCCACTACAATAAAACTTAGCGTATAGAAAATACGAAGCTTACTAAGAGGTACGTAATCTATTCCATAGTTCTATGCATATCTTACGTATCAGCGTTACTAGCTATGCTAGAATTCTTAGATAACCTATGCAGCCTTAACACGTTCTACCTTCAAGTAATTGCACTGTATTCTACTAGGAATTGTATGATGGGAAGATACCGAGGAGAGTATTGCGATGACTTTGGTTGTCTCTTATCCTTTGTGTCTTTGACTGATTTATATAGTCAAGGCTGACGAGCATTCCTCAGCGACACCAGTACCGAGCTTCGTCCACACAAGCAAGTCCGATGTTCGTCCATACAAGCAAGTCCGGTTTTCGTCCATATGAATGAGTCCGGTATTCGTCCATGCGAAAGAGGCAATAGAAAAACAAGGGATAGCACCTTTGCACGCCCGACTCCTTCAATGTACCTACCGGGCGAAATGGTCGGGCCGATACCCGTATCAGTTTTCCATAAGAGTGGACTGTGTCTGGGGTCACGAAGTTGTATTTGGTGGCCTGTCGACTTTAAGAAGCGGTACCATTCATATCCTCCACCTTTGTGAAGGATATCAGGACCCTTTTCACTCGAGAGATCCTGGACAATTTCTTACACGAGGGCCGATACTTCTTTCTATCTACGATCAGGACATCAGACGCTTTAAAAGGGTTGGATATCACTGGATACGCCATACAGGGCAGTATCACAACGCTCACCGCGTTGTCGACGGGGAACTCATTCTTGCTTTTGATCTCGGGTTGTTTGGGTCGTTCTCCTTTACTAACGCGAGCGATATTGAAAGAATTGACGACGAGGGTGGGTATCGTATCACACTTGGTTGAACTTCCATTCAGGCAGCACCAGATCGACGCTTGGTAAAATTGCTCGATCTGGAATACATAACATGTCTCTCCATTGATCTATCAACTGGTCAAATTAGTGGCCACTATACAATGCGTCTATCGATCAGCGGATGGCTTTGGAAGGTAGTGATGCATAGGATATCGGTGAGAAGATTCAAAGGTGACTTGCAGAGAGTGAGGCCTTGCATCCGCCAAATGGAAAAGCACTGGCATTGTACTTGCAGATCTGTATGTGCTAGTAGTCGATATCTGCCGCCTGTTCAGCTTGAGAGATAGCAGTTGCGAAAAGAGTGACAGTCATTTAACGTTCTTCTCTGAAACGTCTCGCTCGCTCAAAGAAGACAAGAGGCGTATTTGCAAATGTATGCAGCGCAGGTCGAAGTGCAGAGTCTGACGCCACTTCGTTCCGCCATTGGAGGAACATATGACTGCGCCTTAACAGCGCGTCTTACACCCCTGGACAGATCGTACGAAAGCATGATTCTGGGGCCTCCATCGAGAATATTCTCATATTTATCAGCAACTCCTTCTAGAGATCGGGTGTCGGTGCGACCTCGTTGGGCTGGTAGAGCATCTGACAAGCTAGTCTACACATGTCATGTATGTACCATCTTGTCAGACCGTTATGTTGCCTTGACGTTCGAAGTGTATGTAGGGCGTGTAAGCGCTAGAAAGTGTGGATAGAGGGTCTGATGTGGCTATTGGCTAGGCGCACTAGAGCGGCGCCTTTTGAACGGGGACGAAGTTTGGGGGCCAAAACCACGTCTCAGAATCCGGTATCTGTACCCGCGCCACGATTGAATGATTTCTCAGCAAGAGTATTAAGACAAGCACTGCCCATGGTTTTTTCCACGGCGCGCATTCCCTAGCCATGGCAAACCACACTTCCAAGATGATGGCAGGGTTTCGCTCTCAGCCCTACAGTCCAGTACCCACGACTCAGGATCCCTCAACCCCTACAGCGGAAAAACTCCTTGCGTCTCAAACGACAACGCCCATTCATTCAGAACTAAAGAAGAGCTCCTCACAATCATGGTCCGCTGCACAAATCCTACTGACCGCAGCGATTCCACTGGTCGCCCTTGTCGTATGGCTTGTATGCGTCCGAGCGAATCCGCGAATTTTCGATACGTTTGCGGGCGAGAAGATTGGGGGCCACCTTAGCCAAGCAGAGGCAAAAGCAGTCGATGCCATCACAGGAGCTGTACTGGCGCCTTTACTCATGGCAACTCTGAATTTTGTCTGGTTTGGCAGTGCACGCGTGTCGGCCTTGAACGAACAGCAAGCGAAGCCAATTCCCCTTCGTACGCTGGTTACCGCCAGCGGTACAACAGGCGGGAACTATGACCTTTTCAATCTCCGCAATCTACTCATGGGCAAGACTTGGACACTTGGACTCTTTGCGCTGCTAACGATGCTCTCTGCTGTTTCGAGAACAGCACTGAGCAATGTTATTGCGTACGAGGCATTTTCTGAACTCGGCTCTTCACAGACGTCTGTTCACTAAGGCTGCAAAGTGACGTTACCATCAACCAAGATTACGACGGTATAGTGTCAGGGGCCGACATCGTCTCATTGGATTTGTACGATTTCGACGGTAATCAGAATGCCCAAGTCGTCAAGGATGTGGTGTCCCTCTTAACCGAGATATCCTACGACAGTTCCGACTCAAAACTGACCAATGGTACATATGTAGCCGTGAACGTAACATCGCAATCGCTAGAGTCTCTGCCGCCGGCTATTTCCAGGCTCGAAAACGTACCGGCCTATCGACTGTCGGTCAATTGTAGCCCGGCTCTGCCAGAATCAATATCAGTAGATCAACCACTAAATTTTTACAACACGATGATCAACTTGATTATCAACAAAACTGCAGAGTCGGATAATTACTTATTTGAAGCATTCTACCCGGGTACACCTGAAAACATTCAAAAGGGAGAAGGCGACAGCCTCACATACGCCGCATCTACTCTGGGTTTCAAAGAGGCATATCTAGGCTCCCTAAGGCGTTTCGACTTGTCCAATGATACGGAACCGTCGGCATACGGCACACTCCATTACCGTACCTACAACATGACTCAATGGGGCTTCAGTGGAACAATGGGACTCATGTCTGCCTGCGGGTTGCGGTGTGTGCTGTACCGCGAACACGGCGTCGCCAACACAAGTCGCAGTTCGGACAACACCTCCAGCACCGCCGTATGGACCATTGACGCCGCCACGTTTCCCTCGCAAAAGAAACAAATCATCCCCTCCCAGCTCTCCAAATTCCAATACAACAGCCTCAACTTCCACGTCCCGGGCTCGTCCATCCCCGGTCTCGGTCCCGCCCTGTCCAACATGTACGCTGTAACGACCCAAGACTTCTTTACCGACTTCGCACACACCTTCCTCTACGCCTCGGGTGAGACGTAGCGTATCCTCTACGAGGTTGCTGCATCCAGCAAGAACGCTTCGCGCAACCTCCCCCAGTACACCATCCACGTCCCGGCATACGCAATGCAACTACAGTACCGCATCACATACGTACCCAGTATCCTCCTGGTCGGTTTAATCTGCCTGCTGGGTGCAAGCGCAGTAACTGGCACCATGGCCTTATCCGCGAGGAAGTCCCTCTCAGCGCGAGCCCAGCGCGAGGTCAACGTCACGAGACTTTTGCTGGACAGCGTAGTCGGGTTGGAGGCGGATGCAGATGAACTGGCAAAAGTGGCACAGAGAGGCAACGACGAATTAGACGCTTGGGCGGCGGGGTACAAGGTGAAATATAGAATCACGGATGATGATACGGGTGATGTAAGAATTGTTCTGGAGAAAATCAAAGCATGATAGAAATAGCATATAGATTAGAAAGAGTGTGGTGGGATTCTACATGTGGCATAGGTGGAGTATATAGGCCGAAGCAGAGTCCAAAGAGATGCGCTATCGGGGCTAACGTACCCAACGGGGTTGAAGGCTGCCAATTGTGACTTCTCTCTCTTGCCTACCCAACTCCCATCCCCAGCATAGCCGCATCAACGCACGCAATCAACACTTTATACAACAAACCTAGAACACAAAGATATGGAACCCTTTCAGGACTAATTCCAGTCCTTCAAACATACAGCGCGAATCACATCAGTGCAAAAACAAGCAGGGTGAGGCATATCTAAGAGCGGGGAATATATTTATCAACGATCTAGGAATTGCCTACAGAGCACCCGCATTATCAACAGGAATGCGTCCTCTGACCACGACATTGCAAAGCCTAGATTGCAGTGGTGGCAGCGGCATCAGCAACCTTGGCCTTGGGCTTGGGTGCCTGGGCATCGAGCGGAACGTTCAAGCCCAAACGCTCACGAGTGGTGTAGGAAGCGATACCCCCGTTAGTATCAGCTTCAGTAACGAGCTCCTTGCGACGGGTGTCAACAAGCAGACGAATGAGATCAGGGCGCATGTAATGACCCGAAAAGTCAGCCAACGCCTTGGTCAAGTGGCATTCGTTGAGGTCGATCTGCATTCCGTTAGTCCAACAACAAGGAAGGTTAGAATGGGTTTGAACGACTCACGTCAACGAACAGCAGACCATCAAAGTCCTTGTCGGGCTTGCAGACGAGGGTACCATCTGGCTTGTAGATCCTCGCATGGCCATTGTACGTTGAGGGATCAGTCTCGGGCTCCACACCTTCAGGCGTCGTCTTCTTCAAGCCCTCCACACTCAGTCTCTGGAACGGAGCCAGCGTCCACGTGCCCGTCTCAATCGCATAAGCCGGCGTGACCAAGTCAGAAGCCGGGTCTGCGACATTGGTAGCGGGATCAGGATACTTGAGCGTCTCTTTGCCAGGATACACAGGCCAGGCGGCGATGTGGATCTGCTCGCCCTCGGATACGTTGAGCGATTTGAGGAACGGGTTCATGTTTTCCCAGCAGTTGAGCTGGCCGAGACGGCCGAGTTCGGTCTGTGTGACGGACTTGAATGTATCGCCTGCGCCATCGCCGTAGACGAGTTTCTCAACGTGTGTGGGCTTGATTTTGCGGCGGTGGTTGATGACTTCGCCAGTGGGATCGATCAAGGCCTGCGCCAGGTACAACGTCGCGTGGTCGATTTCGGAGAAACCGAGCGAGACGTAGCTACACTCAACATCAGATACATGCCTTTCGTGGTGCTCGTAAGTACTAAAGATCTTACATCTGGTTATCTCTCGCCGCGCGGCGGATTCGTCGAAACTCTTCTGAATCCATGGGCAGCGAGTTCTCGCGGTACGACTTGAGCATAGGGAGCGACTGCTGGTAGTTGACCTTCCACATCCAGTAAGGGTAGCCTGGGATCCAGACTTCAGGAAAGGCAATGAGCTTGCAACCTGCAGCGCCGGCTTCGTTGATGAAGTTGATGGTCTTTTGGACGCCGGCTTCGAGGTCGAACCAACATGGCTCGGAGGTGACCTGTTACTCGGTCAGCTAGAATTTGGCAAACGAGACAATGATGTAGACTAACACAGGCAGCCTTGTACTTGGTGAGAGGCATGATGGAAGCTGTTTCGTACTGAAGGGTGTTGTGTTTTGTAGAATAGATAAAAGTCAAATATGCGATGATTGATGTTTAAACCAGAAGGCCTTCACGACTTCTTATATACCAATACCGTCATGTACAGACCCCTCTCCCTCTCGTTACACAGCATTCACCCTGCACCTGGCGACCCTTCTCGATGCTCCATTGTTTGTCAGTCCCAGCGCCAGGAGCATCTTCCCTGCTGCCGGTTAATTGACGTGCTACCCTGAGCATGGTGTGATTTTGCCGCTATCGAAAACGACCAAGAGCCACAGAAACAAATGAAGCAACTGCAGCGACCGGACCGTGTAGCAAAACAGTGGACTGATGTTGAACATGGACGCCGATGCCTCGTTGCTAGCGTTGATACTGTAGATGCCGGAGATGCCGTGACCCAGTCTTTGCGGCATCAGTACGGCGCCGGTCGGCATGTCGCCGCGTCGCGTCCTGTATCACCCGAACCATCACCGTGACTGATGTAATGCGTGTTCGACACTGATGAAAAGGCCGATGAAGCAGCGATCCAGTTTGCGACGTGATTTACGCGTCTGGTGGTGACCCGGCAGAAGCTCGGGCACGGATAGTCCAGAACATCGCAGGTACGTGGAGACGAAAGAGGCAAAAAAGAAGACTACATGTTGAATTCTTCATCCTTGAATGCTTAACACCAGGTCTATGCCTTGATGTTTGCCGGCTGTTTGAAGTATTTGCTAGGAACAAAAGGCATCTTGGTCACGACAGCCTTCCTTTTCCTCCCCCTCACGACAACCTGTACTTCGGTCCCTGCTTTGTGCATACCATCTTTGACATAACCCATGGAAATGTTCTTCTTCATCGTAGGCGAAGGACAGCCAGATGTGATGGTGCCAATCTTTTCCCCAGCCTCGTCGACGATCTCGGCACCCTCTCTGGCAGGCGATCCCTCTACGACAAGACCAACGCGACGCCGTGATACACCGCCGCCTTCAGACTTCTTCTTGAGCTGCTGCAAGATGACGGAGTCGCCGTGAAATCCGCCCTTTGCACGGCGGTCCTTGCCGATGATCCAGGATAGTCCGGCCTCGACTGGCGTGGTCGTGTCATCAAGATCGTGGCCGTACAAGCACATGCCCGCCTCTAGTCTCAGTGTGTCACGCGCACCCAAACCTGCAAAACGTAGCTCGTCTTTGGCAGAGTCGAGCAAGAACTGGGTTACGGCTTCGGTGGCGTAGGCGGGGATGCTAATCTCGAAACCATCTTCACCGGTGTATCCGCCCCGGCTGACGAGCACTTGAGCATCTGTGCCTTTGATGACAGCGTTTGCGCATTGGCCAAAGTACAGCGATTGGAGATCCTGCTTGGACTTGTCGTCTAGAACGCGAGAGAGTATCTCAGCGGATAACGGGCCCTGGAGGGCAACAAGACCCTGTCCATCGAGTATGTTCCACTCTACAGGCTGGTCGGAGTGTGCATTCTTCCAGGCTTCTAATTGTGTCTTGAAGTAGGCAGTGTCCTTTTCCCTGCAGCCGGCATTTGTGACGACGTAGAAGCGATCGGGCAGACGGGTTATGACTGTATCGTCAACAATTCCGCCTGTAGAGTGTAGCAGCGTAGACAGGGTGGACTGGCGTTCAGGTAACGAAGATAGCGACGAGGGTGTTATGCTCTCGAGGAAGGCCTCGGCGCCTGGCCCGGAAAAGTGGTGCTGGACCCTGGATGGATTAGCGCAAGAACATGATTGGAAGATTGTGGGAGTGATGGTGAGTACGCAGAGCAAGTATGAAGTCGCTGTTACCTACATATGTCCAACGTCAAACAAGCTGGCCTTTTCGCGTGTCCAGTTGTGCGAGTCGATGATGCTCATATCGCTGTACTGGACTGGCATGGCATAGCCGCCAAATGGCACAAACTTGGCGCCATACTTGCTGTGAAGCTCGTACAAGCCAGTCTTTGCCGGCTGCTCGCTTGCAGCCTCCGACGAAGCATATCGGACGTGTTGCTGCGATAGGCGTGTGAGGTTGCGGGGACGTGGGGCTGGGGTTGCGCGCGATCTTGTGGAGTAAGTCGCGACGCGCGAACATTCTGGCCTCCAAACCAGCGGTGCAAGACCATTGGCGGCCGGACGCAGGGCAACGACAGCTTTTTTCGAGGCCATGTTGGGTGGGTGAGGAGGAAATGCCAAAGAAGTTGCGTCGTCTTGCTGCTGGCGGGTACTCACGGCGGACTATATAAGACACCAATGACGGCAGGGTAGCACCCTAGGCCGCGACTAGGCCCAAGCTCCCCCGACTGGATTCCATCCACCAAAACGGCCATCGTTCCCATAACCGCCTATATCGCGTCCCGATCGCCCCAAAACAGAGCGCCGCAACCATGTCCAAGGGGAGCAAGTACCTGCTGGTGTCGCTGCCGACGTCCATCTCGCCCTCGAACCACGCCGAGGACGCCCTCACAGCGCTGCGCTCCACCGTAACCAATGACGTGGGGAACACGTCCCCGTTCGCGATTCCCAATTTCAAGATCGGAACGCTGGATGCCCTGGTGCAGCAGGCCGATGAGCTGTCCAAGCTCAACAATGCGTGCGAGGCGGTCGTGGCCAAGGTGGGCGACAGCCTGAGGCAGATACTCGACGGCGACGAGGGCAAGATACAGCAGCAGAAGACGATAAACGACAGTATGTGCACATGGGCCGTATGCGATTGGCGTCTGGCAGCTCACATGATGTAGAGCCTGTTGATCAGTACTTGCGCAACTTCCAGTGGAACAAGGTCAAGTACCGGGCCGACAAGCCCATTGCAGACCTCATAGACGCTCTGCAGAAGGTGCGTTAGGGTTAACCCTAACCTAATCCTTCTTGTTCTGTGGATCAGTACGGCTGACAACAAGGACAGGAGATACAAGGCGTCGACAACGACGTCAAGTCCAAGATGAGCCAGTACAACCAGACAAAGTCCGCCCTCCAGGCCGCCGAGCGCAAACGCACCGGAAACCTCGCGACCAAGTCCCTCGTCAACGTCGTCAATCCCAAAGCCATAGTCCGCGACTCCGAGTACCTCGACACGCACCTCATCGCCGTACCCAACAACAACGTCAAGGACTTCTACAAGGACTACGAGGAGCTATGTCCCATGGTGGTTCCCCGCTCCGCCAACGAGCTCGCCAAGGATGCCGAATTCACCTTGTTCGCCGTCACGACATTCAAGAAGCATTCCACCGAGTTTGTACACAAGTGCAGAGAGAAGCGGTGGACACCGAGAGACTACCAGTACAAGGAGGGCAACAAGGAGGAAGAGGCCAAGGAGGCGGAGCAATTAGCCAAGGACGAGAAGAAGTTGTGGGGCGAGGCGTTACGGCTAGGAAGAACGGGGTACAGTGAGAGCGCCATGATCTGGATCCATGTTCTCGCGCTGAGAGTGTTTGTTGAGACGGTGTTGCGATATGGCTTGCCGCTTGACTTTGTCGCGGGAATCGTTCAGGTGAGTTTGCGCGTGTTGGACGAGCTCAGTGTGTGAGATCTTTGTATTGGACATGTACTGACGCGAGGCACCTAGACCGATGCGAAGCAAGCGAAAAAGGCAAAGTCGAATCTCGATGGCGCGTACTCATACCTTGGTGGCAACGCCTTTGGCCGCGATAGCAAGGGCCGGATTCAGAAGGACGATCAGGCGCTGTCGACTGACATGGCGCAAGCGGGTCAGATGGGTGATCAGGAGTACACGGCGTATGTGTACTATGAGTTTGAGGTGCTATAGTGTGACAGCAAAAAGGTAGCGAGGGTTTGGTTGATAGCATAATCTGGTCATGGACTAGTGTTTCGAGTCTTATAGATGGCTTTCTGTGAAAGCGATATCATGAACAGCCTACATATTTCATGGCCACCGGAATTCATGTCCGACAGTGATGGCAGCACATGCACGCTCTACGCCTCTTGAAATCCGACCAGCTCATTGCTCATCTCCCACAACTTCTCCTCGCTCTCGACATCATACGCCCACTTCTCATATCCCCGATCTAAAAATTCATAACTCGGCTGTGGCACCGGCGGACAAACCTGACAATCGTCTAGATAAACACCTCCCTTGCCTTCCCAGCACTCTCCTACAGCTGCCCAGACAGTCGTCGCGGCTCCTTGCGCGGGGCTCTTCATGTACTTCTGTACTGCGGGGATTTCTTTCATAGCGTCTATTTCAGGTAAGTGGTCTTGCAGGCCTGTCCATATACCACCTGGATGGAGGGACAAGGCGTGAATAGGATGTGTCGTGGAAGAGCCATAGTGTCTATCAATGTAGTTTGCGAACCAAATATTTCCTGTTTTGGAATGCGCATATGCCCGATTAGGATCATACGCACCGGGTTCTCGCAGCTGAATATCCGACAGAGTGGGCGCGAAGTAGCGGTGGCCCATTGACGACACGGCGACGACGCGCGAGGCGGAAGTAGGCGTACTAGAAGCGACGAGGGCTGGTTTGAGCAGCTGGAAAAGCAGAAAGTGGGCGAGGTGGTTCACGCCGAATTGCGTCTCGAAACCATCGGCGGTTGTCGATTGGGGTATTGCCATGACGCCTGCGTTGTTGATCAAGATGTCGAGTTTACCATGGCTGGCTGCGAGGAACTCGGCAGCGAATGTGCGGACGGAAGCTAGGCTCTCGAGATCTAGGTGGAGTAGGTCGACTTTTCCGGGTGACAGGATATCGGCGAGTGCTGCTTGGCCCTTTTCGAGGGAGCGTGCAGTGCAGAAGATGTGGGCGCCTGTGGCAGCGAGAGCTCGAGCTGTTTCGACGCCTAGGCCTGAGGAGCAGCCTGTTATTAAGATAGTCTTGTCGGTTAGCTTGCCCTTGAGGCCGTTGTCATTGATAACTTGAAGGGCTGTGGGACGGGCGTCGCCTTCGCCGTTGGGATTCTGGTGGACAGCGGCGTAGCGTGTGAATTCCGGGGTGGTATACAAGGCCATGTTGAGTACTGAGGATGACAATTCGAACAGTTAGGGAACGAAGATGGAGGCGAAGGATGTAATGAGTTTAAGGTCTCAACAATCGCAATCTAAGGATGATGTGTTGGACTTGAAAACGCGTGTACGCGGCTCTTTATACACGAAACCATATTTACAGAGTATAGAAGTTGGGCGACTGTGCCTTAAGGCCGATCTTTACTCCGTGTATGTTTGGAATTGCCTGTGTAGCTTGGTATCACAAGATGTACGGACCAGCGGCGGGCGTAGACCAAGTGAGACGTTGTGATCGGTAAGCGTGAGGTTGCGGAGTTAGGGTAGAGTGATACATGGGGCGTAATGGTATGTATCGAGTCCCACGAGCTAAGCTAATATGGGATGGGACCCATATATACCCGGTAGCTCTCATCCTTGGCGTCATGTGACTGTTAGCGTGTACAGATCCAGGCGGTGGCAGAACCTTAGCGCGGCCTTTGCAACTTTCTGGAAAAAAGTTACCTGGACCCAATCACAAGCCCGACCCACGCCCAAAACACCCACGATGCCGTCTACACACAATGCCGAGAAGCCCTGGGACACGGATGATATTGACAAGTGGAAGGTACGTTTGCGCCGGATTTGCGCGCCTCCGAGAGCTCAAGACTGACATTCGTGCAGATTGAGCCCTTCAAGCCGGAGGACAATACGGCCGGCGCCTTCACCGACGAGTCGCGTTTCAGCACGCTTTTCCCAAAGTATCGCGAACAGTATCTGAAGGGGTCATGGAAGTTCATCACACAGGCGCTGCAGAAACAAGGTGTTGGGTGCGAGCTCAACTTGGTTGAGGGTTCCATGACGGTATGGACGACGCAAAAGACATATGACCCGGCGGCGATATTGAATGCGCGCGACCTGATCAAGCTGCTTGCGCGAAGTGTGCCGGCGCCACAAGCAGTCAAGATCCTCGAAGACGAGGTGGCCATGGACATCATCAAGATACGGAATCTAGTTGGAAACAAGGATCGCTTCGTCAAGAGGCGGCAGCGTATTCTCGGGCCAAACGGATCGACGCTCAAGGCACTGGAGCTGCTCACCGAAACCTATCTGCTGGTACAGGGAAACACCGTCGCTGCCATGGGTCCCTACAAGGGCCTCAAGCAGGTTCGGCGCATCGTCGAGGATACGATGCACAACATCCATCCCATCTACGCTATCAAGGAGCTTATGATCAAGAAGGAGCTCGCCAAGGTAAGTCGTGGAAGCGCCAATTGCATATGCGACGTACACTGACTTTGCGCCACCACGTAGGACCCGGAGCTAGTCAACGAGAGCTGGGATCGCTTCCTCCCCAACTTCAAAAAGCGCTCGCTCAGCAAGCGCCGCGTACCCCACAAGGTTACCGACAAGACAAAGAAGACATACACACCGTTCCCGCCGGCCCAGGAGAAGAGCAAGGTGGATCTGCAGATCGAGAGCGGAGAGTACTTCTTGGGCAAGCACGCAAAAGAGAGGAAGGTACAGGAAGAGAGGGAAGACAAGATGAAGGACAAGATGGACGCAAAGCGCAGGGAAAGGATGATGGAATATGTCGCACCAGAAGAGGATGGCGACAAGAAGCAGAAGAAGGAAAAGAAGCGGAAACGGGAAGAGGGCGAAGGCAAGGAAAAGAAGAAGAAGAAGCGCAGTTCCGAGGGCGAGGCCAATGGCGATGCTTGAGCCATATTTTGCATTGCAATACCGAAGTTGCAGCGACATGCTGCAGGTCGTGGAGTATAGGCGTATTCTTCCTTCTCCTCTAGGGAACACCACAAAAAGCATTGACAGGTGTTTAGGTTAGCTTGATAAGTTCAAATACCCAATTCTGTATTACCACCATCACATGTCGTTTCTTTTAGGATTACCGGGCTCAAGGCCACTGCTTGGCGCTCTATACTTGGCGACAGGCGCTCAAACATATTGTGTCTCACATACGAACCTGACATATCAGCCGCAGTGCAACGTCGACAGTTCTTCACCATGTTCCTGCGACTCTGTCTCCATACCCAGGCCAAATACCTCGCTGCCTTGCTCAAATCTGTAACATAATGCGGAATCTGTCTGCTATTCTAGCACATGTCGCCTCGGTCGACTTGGTACCATGGACGCTGCAACGTCAACCATGTTGGCAAGAAAGTCCTCTCTACAACCTGGCCTTTCAAACCTCACTGGACGCATCACAAACCTACGCATTTTGCGCTGAATTCTCTTCTCCTTTGGGTAAAGTGCATGCGAAACCGCGTGATATCTACGAGCCATGGACCCACAACCCAGTTTGCACACCACATCTCTCCGGCATCAACGACACACTATGCGTTTACACACACGCTACTTTTGCTGGAGGACGTGGAATTTCAATCGTGACGACACCGCGTCTTGCCCGGCAATTTGCTGTGTTACCGGCGTTTCTCGAACAATCGATTCATGCAGCGCGGAATATCAACACACCTACAAACGTGTATCGAGCGACTGAAATACCAGGAAAGGGCATCGGCATGCTAGCCACACAACCCCTTGCGTTCGGCGACGTCGTAACAAGTCACACACCAGCACTGGTCGCCTATTTAGAAGCCGAGTTATCGACCTTAGATCGCGAAACACTCTGGCGCACTGCTATCTCGCAACTACCACCGACACTCCAAGAAAACTTCCTCTCCCTAGCGACCGTGTATGGAGATGAGAGGGTGCGGGTCCAAGACATTGTTAAAGCGAATACCTTCCAGATCCTGCTCGGGGGCGCAAATCATCTGGCTGTGTGGCCCGAGACGTCGAGGTTGAACCACGCGTGCGCGCCAAATGCGCAGTATGTGGTGGATGCGGATATGTTGACGCATACGGTGCGTGTGACGCGGCCGATCGCTGAGGGCGAGGAGATCACGATAAGTTACACGAGTCCGCTGGAGGAAACGGACGTTCGATGGCAGCATCTGCAGCAGGGGTTTCATTTCATGTGTACGTGTAAGAGGTGTGCGAATCCCCGTTCTGACGTTACCCTTGAGCGTATCAGGATTTTGGAAAAGAAGCTCAATGACTGGTCGTCCGCCTCCTCCTCCGGTTCGGTCGACATGGCGGAAGAACTGCTATCGCTCTATCGCCAAGAGGGTCTCGAGGGTTTCATGGACATGCCGTATGGGTTCGCGGCGCTGGCGTATAGTACTGTTGGCGATAGGGAGAAGGCGTTGAGCTATGCGGAAAAGGCGCAAGAGGCTATTCAGATGAAAGACGGGGTTTGGACAGAGAACTGGAAGATGTGGGAGGGGTTCAAAGGAAATTTGAAAGGGCATTGGAGTTGGAGGCGGAGGAGAGTGTGATGGGTCGCATTTCAATCGAGAATGCAACGTGTCAAAATAAACTAGACACTAGTCACTGAGTTCGATGTGAATAGCATCATACCGAAGCTGTGCTCTACTAAGCTGTCGACTATCGTAGTTGGAAAGTCGTTGCGCCGCTCACGATGTAAAGGGCGCCGCCAAGAATTAGCGAGTGTGGGGTGGGAATTGGATCAGCCACTCCCGGCATCTCGTGGCACCGTCCCACCCAACACCACCCACCTGCATCATGAATCCCTATGGAACTTGGCACGCCTTCACGACCCAGCGCTTCAGCCTTCGCGGAACCTGTCGATGAAACTTCCATCCGTCTCCTACACTTCTCGCGGTCTGAAGATGGCATCTTCACTGGCAAGTTACGGCGGTTCCCGATCGCTGGTGCACCTCACTATTACACAGCCAGTTATGTGTGGGGCGAGCGAAAGTACACGGGAGTTACGATTAATGTGAAGACTGGAACACTGCCCATATTGGACAGTCTTGTGCCCTTTCTAAAGATGGTTACTCGTCACAGCGATTTCAAAGCTAGTGACTGGTGGTGGATCGATTCATTATGTATCAACCTCGACGACAGCCGCGAACGCGAGAAACAGGTGCGCATCATGGCCGACATCTACAAGAGGGCAAGAAGAGCAATAGTATGGCTTGGTGAAGAGAAAGAGAGAGACAGCGACTGTACAGATGCGATCGAATTTATGCACTACCTCTCCACTTTACAGATCGCATTCAATGGAGACGACATTGCTATGCGCAAAAAGCTTGAGAACCCTGAGTTCACCGAGAAGTGCGCTGCTGTCAGCGCGCTGCTAGCTAGACCGTGGTGGACAAGAGTGTGGACTCTGCAGGAGTTTGTACTTCCGAAAGAGGCGAAGCTGTACTGCGGCATGGCGAGCATTAGCCGCGGAAGGTTCAAGAGTGCAATCTACAGCATCTTTCTTTGCAGCACCATCAGCCAAGAGTTTGAACACGAGCTCGTACCGCGGAAGCTATTCGATGGAGCGTTCAATCGTCGTCGCATTCATCAATGGTTCACCAAACCAGCCTCGGTCGGCATCAATCTGATCGCTATCATGGCGTATCTTGGCAACCACTCCGCGACCGACAGCAGAGACCGCATATACTCCGTTCTTGGCCTGATCAGCGAAAAGGATCGAGAGCTCATAGGACCCGCCGAATACACTACCGATGTTGCGCATCAATTTGCGAAACTTGTTCGCTCCTTCTGGCATGCTCACAAATCGCTGGACATTATTTGTTTCACGCATCTGTTCTGCCGCCACGCCGCGGTCAGCGATCCAGGCGCTGAAGATGCAGCACCCACCTGGACTCCAGACTGGAGGACGACTATCGACTTCGCTTCACCTGTACCGCTCATGGCAAGCCAAAGTGCCTGCGAACACATTGGAAACTTCAGGCCGCTGCGGTCGACGCGGTGGAAAGCTTCATATGACGCGCCTGGATCCCGTCTGAGAAAAGAAGCAAACGTCTCTTTCTCCGGTGATCTGAAGGATCTTTACTGTGACGGTGTCATCTTAGATACCATACATGGCCTTGGAGGACTTGACGGACAGGAATTACGATGCCAGAGCTTCGTGTGTAGCGAGGCTGGCCATAAGCTGGTGCAGTCGCAACGAGAGCAACGCAGTGCACCGAGAGCTACGATGTTGCCCATGGATTGGCTCGAATCTGTAGCACGCTCTCTGGTCATCGACCGCCAGGACAAGTACCTCTGCTTCCAAGCACCAGTGCATTACATCACCGACTTCCTCTTCCTTTGCCATGCGTGCATCGATGGCGACCCAGTCGACTGGAGCTTCTCCACATGGTTCGAGCATAACAGGAAGCTACTGTTCGGCACCGCATCGCTAGAGGACCTTGTAAATCAGGTACCCACCGAGTTCACATCGCCACCCCCGACACTACATCGACCACCGTCCCACCCCATGCACCAGATGAACGATAAGCTCGATACCTTTCTCTCGCGCTTTCACGATACTGTGCGGAAGAAAGCACGTCGGTTGATGGTCACCGAACAAGGCCATGTTGGTGTGGCACCGTGTCGCGCACGGCCGGGCGATGTTGTTGCTATTCTGTTCGGGTGTAGCATTCCGCTTGTCCTGAGGAAGGAGACACAAGACGCGTGGTGGGTTGTGGGCGAAGGTTTCGTGTATGGCTATATGAATGGCGAGGTTGCCGACCTGGTCAAGAGCGGGAGGATCGTCAGGCGTCGGCTGAGGCTTGTGTGAGCTGCTGCGCTACCACCACGCACGGTATCGGAACTTGTCAGGATATCATCAACGACACCTTACCTATCGTCTAATGCGCTACCCCCCCGCTACAGTGTTCGAGAAACATAAGGCAGGTGGGGAAATCGCAGAGCCGTGGTTGACGTCATGAGCGGTGTCTAGATTTGAGAGACGCTAAGATGTACACAACCGAGCTTGGTTCATCCAAGCTTTGCTTGACCTTCCCAAAGCCATGATTCGTCTACATGAGCAACCAAGTCGATCTCCCATCGAGACGGCCTCTCAACATCACAAAGAGCTTGTGTCTCATCGACTTATCCCGCCGGCGTTGCTCAACCTAGCTTTAGTACCTGACTAAGGCTCTCGGAAGCAGCACAAGATGCGGGGACAGCCTATGTATTCGTCTGTGCAGTGGCCACATGTCAAGCCGGATAAATGTCCGGCAACCCTCTAGCAAACACGGATCTTGATGTATAGGGGAAGATCATCATGCTAATTCGAATTCGCATCTTTCACATACGTCAAGCCGACGGCCAGCATAATCGACACCCGAATGGTGTCTAGATTTAAGGTTTTGGACCAGAAGCATAGGCGTCTTTTAACAGCTGCATGTCACAGGCTACAGTCTTTCCAGGAAGCTACATCAGTCGGCAGACATCGAGTGTTCCACGTATCCGCACTTCTCTCCCATTTGACTCGTGTACGATGTGGACGTATCTCGCTCTTGTATTGGCCACTGTGGCCTCAGGTATGCCTACCCTTTGATATTTACTTGAACGAGAGTCTTATACCTGTAGGCCAAACCACACTCGATCAGCCGCCTGGTCCAAACACATGGCCACCAACATCAACGTTAGCATCCACCCTCAACCTAGCACCCAGTGTCACACCCAATATCATCAACCCAGATGCGCCAGATGCACAAAGAATTTGCCCTGGATACAAAGCCGCTAATGTCGTTACTTCCGACAACACCATCACTGCAGACCTGTCTCTCGCCGGTCCTGCATGCAATGCGTACGGAAATGAAATTTCAGACCTTGTCCTCGAAGTTCAGTACCAGAATGCTGCTCAGCTCAACGTCAAGATCTACACCAAATACGTTACTCCATCAAACAGATCCTTGTACATTTTGGACGAGTCTCTCAGCCCTAGTGGCAGTGCCTCTCATGAGTGTACTGCTAGCAATAGTGATTTGAGGTTCGAGTGGACTAATGATCCTACCTTCCAATTCCGGGTCAAGCGTGCAAAGACTGGTGAGACAATTTTTGACACCTACGGCCACAAGATCGTGTTCGAGGACCAATTCCTCGAGCTAGTCACGAACATGGTCCCAGAGTACAATATCTATGGACTACCAGAAGCGATCCGTGGAAGCTTTCGCTTACCAAATCAGTACACACAGACCTTCTGGAATCAATACAATGAGACGAACGATCAACAGATTGATGCGAATATGCATAGCACGCACCCAGTCTACCTCGAGACCCGTTACAATAATGGGTCCTCCAAGTCACACGTGGTATACGGTCGCAACCTTCACGGTCAAGAATGGCTTCTACGCCCGGATCGTATCATCTACCGGACAATCGGTGGCAGCTTCGACTTCTACTTCTTCAGTAGTCCTTCGCCAACGGAGGCTTTGGCGCAGCAGCAGCTTGGTGTGATTGGCACACCCGTCATGCAGCCTTACTGGGCGCTTGGTTTCCATCAAGTTCGTTGGGGCTACCAGAACTGGACTGTTCTACAGGAAATTATTGATGGATATGCGGCTGCGAATATTCAACTCGAAGCGATTTGGAACGACTTGGATTACCTGTTTCAGTATCGCATCTTCACCCATGATAATAATACATATCCCATGGATGAAGGCAAAGAGTTCCTCGCCAAGCTGCATGCAAATGGTCAGTACTGGATGCCTATACTAGACCCCAACGTGTATGTGCCGGCACCAGGCAACGGGACTGACGCAAATCCTACCTACGATCGCGGAAAAGCACTTGATCTCTATATCAAGCATGGAGAAGGGCACACAGATGACTACATCGGCATCCAGTGGCCAGGCTTCAGCGTGTGGCCCGACTTTTTGCATAACGCGACTCAAAACTTTTGGACGAATGAGATGCAGTTGTATCATGATCAGCTTCCATTTGATGGTTGGTGGCTCGACATCTCTGACTTGTCATCGTGGTGCACTGGCTCGTGTGGGACAGGGAGACTTGCGGATAATCCAATCCACGTGCCTTTCAAGCTGCCTGGAGAGCCTGGTCAGATCAACTATGACTATCCCGAAGCTTTTGACCAAACAAACGCGACCGAAGCAGCGTCTGCGAGCGCAGCAAGCGCGTCGCAAGCATCAGCTTACCCCACGCCAACCACAACTGTCGGCACGGCCACTGTGTGATTCACTTCAGCAACTCCCGGCGTCCGGAACATAACATTTCCGCCCTATGCCTTGAACCTGACTCTCGAAGGGCACTCACTCCTACGTCAAGCGGTTGCTCCCTACGCCACGCACAATGATGGATATAACACGACGGAGTACGAGCTGCACAATACTTACGGCTATGTCTCTGGTAAAGCAACCTACAATGCGCTCCTGTCTGTGTTCCCAGGAAAACGTCCGTTCTGGATTGCGCGATCAACATCACCCGGCTCCGGTGCTATAACTGGTCACTGGGGCGGCGACACAAACTCGCGTTGGGGTAACATGTACATGACCATTCCTCAAGCATTGACCTTCAGCATAGCTGGCATTCCTTACTTTGGTGTCGAGACGTGCGGCTTCAACGGAAATGCCGATATGGAGCTCTGCACGCGATGGATGCAGCTCAGTGCTTTTTTTCCTCTATATCGCAACCACAACTCCCGCAACACAATTGCGCAGGAAGCATTCAGGTGGGCGACTACTGCGGAAGCCACTCGTCGTGTGATGGATGTGCGCTTCCGTCTCTTGCCCTACCAATACACACTATTTCATGCTGCGCACAAGCGCGGTGAAACAGTGTTGCGCGCGTTGTCATGGAACTTTCCTGACGACGAGTCGCTGAAAAGTGTTGATAATCAGTTCATGCTCGGACCTTCCATCTTGACCACGCCGGTACTAGCTCCACTGCTGCGCGTCTCACAAGGAGTGTTCCCTGGTGCGCCACATACGCGGTGGTACGATTGGTATACGCTCAAAGAGGTGCACGCCCAGCCAGGTCAGAATGTAACATTAGATGCACCGCTCGAGCACATCCCAGTACACGTGCGTGGTGGCAGCATTATCGCAAGTCAGAAGCCTGGGAGTACGACCAAAACGACCAGGATGAATCCGTGGAGCATCCTAGTCGCGCTCGACGGTAAGCGGGAAGCCGAAGGGGAGCTTTACCTCGACCACGGTGTGAGTCAGGAGCCCACTGAAATCAAGGAGATTAAGGTACGTGCGGATTCTGAACTGTCTGGATTGTGGAATCAATTGCTGACTTGTGAATAGTTCTCGTTTGCTAACGCTACCTTGACGACGTCAATGACTGGCTCCTACGAAGACACCAATGCGTTGGCCAATATCACGATCGCTGGTTGGGTCCAGGACAATAGTCTCGTCGAATGTGGCGCTGTCAAGATCATGTCTGGTGGGAGGGGTGTAGACTCAGGCAACGTTAAGATCACGAGCGATAATGGCGCCGTGCACGTGACGGGGTTGGAAGATGTGGCCAGGGCATTTCATTCAAACCTATCTATCAGCTTCATGTAGGTCTGTTTACTTTGTTAAGGACCCACAAAACAGAGGAGAGAAACTCGAAAGTTGAGGTATTAGTAGGCATCGGTTTAGGCGTGGGTAAACTACCGTGTTTGCCGCGTACGCATTACCACCACCACTCAGCGGAGGCGCCAAGTATGCGGCGTGGCGCATGTGCAGTGATTGCTTCTTCGGCTGCGGCTGAGCCCTGTGATGGAAGGCAGCTCCGCCCTTCTTATCAGACCAGAGCCTTGTTCACATACGCGCTCCACTCAATGGCAGGCAACGAAGAACATATCAAAGACTAGAATCCCTCAAGCTCGCAATACAAACGACCCTTGGTATATTCCTTTTTGCTGTATATGGCAGCAAGAAATCATGCGAGAGTGCTCCAGCTCTCATGGGCCGTCGTAGATACCCTCGAGTTTCTGTGGCGCATCAGGCTGTGACCTCGTCGACATCCCCACATCGGACCAACGCATCCTGACTATCGATGATGAGGCGAAATACATGTCAAATGACCGTACTAATGCCTTGAACGTACTCTCATTGGAGGTACAAGGAAAGAGACATCTTTGTGTACAGTGCCGTGCGCTGATCGGGGGCTGATGTGCATCGTGGCGTTACCAGCCGTGCGCCACTCCGCATCATGATTCGCATGACGCCGACTCAGCTCGCCAACACCCTTTCTTATTTCCAATGAGAGCAATACAGCTTGGAGATAGGCTTGCTGCGATGCTCTACAAATGCATAGTTCGTGCACCTGCTGGCGACTGTATCTTCGCACTCCTTCTTTCGTCCTTAGCACTCTATCAGCACTCTGCTTTAGATCGAACAAGCTGTACTGGATTCCTCACGTTGTGTCGGATCCAACGGGGCTGATTGAATGGCCTACTCCTGAGGCCGGTGTGAAACTCAACTTCAAAGATACCGTCGTGGTATATTACACTTCAAATTTCGCTAACCAGCTGCGCATCAACTGCAAAGAAAGCACAGGAGGGGATTCATGGGGTAATCTCACTGCGCCTGCCTCATACCATAGCGATGCTGCTAACCGAGGTCGAAGGACAGTCGTTCACCATTGACGAGCAGAATGGGTCCACCTTAGTGTCGCCGATAGGTTTAGGGCGTGTGTATGATGACTGGCCTGCACAATGTACGCTTCAATTGTATGCGGGAGACAGTGGGTTATACGTCGATGGCTCTGTTGTGATACCTGTGTCTTCCTCCGAAACGCAAGCCGCAACAGTCTTTGACTCAACTTCGACTCACCTATACGAGACGATTTCATCAAGCGCTATATCCACGGTCCCCACTATCATTTCGACGACGAGCCCTGTTATTTCGACGTCTTCGACATCGCCTACGACCACTTCTTCCGGAGACACAAGTGATGGCGATGGTCTATCCACAGGAGCCAAGGGTGGCATAGGTGCTGGGGTAGGTGCCTGTGCTCTACTTCTCGCAGGGGCTGCGTACCTGTTCTATCGCAGATCCCGCAAGGCTAAAGATTCGCACGAACATGCAAGCTACCAGACCGACCCCGAGCAATACAGTAAACCAACTGGTGTTGCGGTTGCACATCACGCGGCGGATGGCGGTTACAACAGACCGTACAGCGAGGCTACAACATGGTCGCAGGGTCATCAATCGCCGCAAGCGCCACCACAAGAGCTCGGAAGTATGCGATGAAACCGGAAGGATTTGTTAAAATTGAAGGATAGTGTACATTAATTGATAAACGAGCTTGATGCATCTACCTAGCCTTCTAAGGTGAACTATAGCTTACTGAATTAAATTTACAATGTACAAATCGAACGTCGCGAAGTGGATGTGTCGACGTATGGTTGATCCCAGAGATGGCACAACCTTGGAACCATCTGGGATCGGCGCGTGCTACTGCACCCGGGAGAGACAAACAACCAAGAACGTTGAACAACAACCATCAAACACCCATCCGTCACGTCAATGACTGGATCTCGGGCGCCCGATAAGTCCGTCAACTTCTAATAATGACAACGGACCGCGAGGGATGAATGGCAGCCTTGCGCGATGCTAGATCGAGAGCCCGCGCGGATGTTCCAATTAAGCCTAGCGTTGCCGCCACCAACTCTGGCCCCGCGCGCAACCCCAAACGATCTCTTTGACCAGGTACTTATGCACTTCAGGCCTCAAAGATGCTAGGATATGCAGATTCTCTTCAGTCCGACGGGAATTATGTTGCGCCGGAGACTGTCAGAGAGGCGTGTATAAGAAGAGGTGGGTTTCGTACTTTTGCGACTTTCGACATCAGCACCTGCGGACACCAGCCAGATTAGCATCTGCCATCATCACATCATCTCTCAGAGATTCGTCGCATCACCAATTCATAGTCTCTCTAAGATAGCTATCCGCTCCATCGTCTCAAAAACAGTTATACGAAATGGTCACCGTAGCAGTCATCGGAGGGACAGGCTCTGTCGGCAAAACAATCGTCGACGCTTTCGTAGCAGAAGGCACTCATGAGGTCATTGTAATCTCTCGCAAGGTTCGTGATCATACTTTTGTATCATCAAGTGAACCATAAGTTCTGATCAATATGCAGGTTCCGGAAGGCAAGAGCGCTGCCAAAGTCATCGCGGTCGATTACACCAACATCGAAGAGCTCACCAAAACGCTTGAGGAAAACAATATCCATACCGTCATTTCAACCATTGTCATGTATGATCCCGAAGCTGCACGGGCAGAGCGGAACTTCATTGCAGCTGCAGACAAGTCCTCCTGCACCAAGCGCTTCGTAGTAAGTAATGTTACAAGGTAACAAGGAGTTGCTTCCTTTTGTTATGCAGGCCGCAGGAAGGAAGACCATCGGGATAGCCGCGATGGAAGGTCGCTGATCCAAGGCGGGGCCTGGGATCACGTGACGTGCCAT